TCTAGATCTCTTTGTAGTTTTCACAAAGGTATGACTCAAACACGACACGCACCATGGTTTTTGCTTCTCAACACTAAAGTTTTGGGTGGATGGGTCAGACAGTGTGCACTGCTCTAATTATAAGTTTAGGGCAAGGGCACTGCTCTGGCTGCGGGTCAGAGGCAACAAAGTAAAAATATTATTTGAAATACCTTTCTATTTTAGCAGTGACCCTTCATTTTCTAATAATAATAAAATTCCAAAAGCCTAAATAATTGTCACTACAAAGGTTAAAAAAGATGATCTTTTCTTCCTAAAGGATCATCTTGGTTATCTCACCAGCTAATGAAAACACTATCTTGATTTTATTCATTTGTGTCCTCAACAAGAGAGTAAGCTTCATGAGGGCAGGAAGTGTGTCTACTTTTTCACTGGACGAGTATATTGCACAGCTTAGCACAGTACCCTGTAGTCTTCTGGATATGTTTTTGTTAAAATAATGTATAAATAATAAATCAAGTATTGCTATCATCTATAGTGGTGCTATGAGTTAATGCGTCAGACTGCAAAGCGATTTGAACTGCAAGATTGGCGGTTCAAGCTCACCAGCTGCTCCTTGGAAACCCTATACAGGGTCGCTATGGGTCAGAATCGACTCAACGGCACTTAACAACAGCAACAACACAGTGGTAAACTTTAATTAAACATGATATGAAATTTACTCTAAATTCTAAAATCTTTATGTTGTGTTGTCTGTTGTTAAGTGCTGTTGAGCCAGTTCTGACTCATAACGATTCTGTAGAGGGTTTTCAAAGAGTGGCTGGTCTGAGTCCGAACTGCTGACCTCGTGGTTGAGTGCTTGTCCTACAACACTACACCAGGACTCCAGGACTATAATATCTTTATAACCCCTCTTTATTTTTCAGGTAGAGGGGAAACAAACATTTATTGAATCTATTATCTGCCAGATACTCAGACACTGGGTGCTTTACAGAAACTTGTTTTTAAATATTATCTCACCATCTTACAATCAAGTTTTTAACACTAACAGACCTACTCATACTCCTATCATTGATTAAGGAGCGTGATGGCTCTGTAGGGTAAGCGCTGGGCTGCTGACCATAAGATCTGTGGTTGGAGTCCACTAGATGCTCTGAGGGAGAAAGACGAGGCTTTCTGCTCCCGCAGTTTTACAATCTCAGGAACCCTATACAAGGTCATAATGAGTTGGAACCAACTTAATAACACTCAACAACAACCATTGACTATGTTACTTTTAACTTTTAAGAACAGAACTAAAAACAAAAACTCTGTTAAGTAAGAATTCAATATTACAAATATAGTTAACATCTTACTTATGGGCAACTATTATAAAACTGGAGCCCTGGTGGCATAGTGGGTTACGATAGAATTGTTAACCTCAGCATCAGCGGTTTGAATCCACTAGTTGCTCCAAAGGAGAAAGATGAGGCTTTCTGCTTTTGTAGAGATTTACAGCTTTGGGAACCCTATACAGGGTCACTGTGAGTCAGAACGGACTCAGTGGCACACATCAACAATATTATAAATCAGAGTTTTTCACTCTGGAATTTATCAGAGACTAGGGCTACTTCTTTCAACACTAATTTCCTGGTGTGGCTCTATAAGATCAGCACTGGACTGTGAAGCGCAGGGTTGGCAGTTCAAACAGACCAGTTGCTTCTTGGAAACCCTATACAGGGTCACTGTGAGTAGGAACTGATTGGACAGCACTTAACAACAACAACAATATTTTCGGTGACAATACTTCTAAACATACTTTGAATGTTGTTGTTAAGTGCTGTAGAATGGGTTCTGACTCACAGTGGCCCTGTATAGGGTTTCCAAGGAGCAGCTGGTGGGTTTGAACTGCTGACCTTGTGGTTTGAAGTCCAGTGCTGATCCGACAGCACCACCCCAGGAATTCCTGTGTACCTGAATAAACTTAATCAAAATGTCGCCAACACAAATGCACCTTTTTTGATAACTGAGGTAAAGACAGTGGAATGATTAAGAAAAGATGTTCTAGAACTTAGTTGTAAATCCTGGCACTTCTACTTACTAGGGAAGAAAGATGAGGCTTTCTGCGCCCGTCAAGATTTACAGCCTGGTAACACTGTGGGCTAATGCGTCAGACTGCAAAGTCATTTGAACTGCAAGGTCTGTGGTTCAAGCTCACCAGCTGCTCCTTGGAAACCCTATACAGGGTTGCGATAGGTTGGAATCAACTCGACGGCACTTAACAACAACAACAACAAACCATAAAGAGGGCCACTGTAAGTTGGAACCTATGATATTTAACACTACCAATTATTACTACTATTTACTAGCTGTGTGATTTTAGGTAAATTAACTTTAGTGGGTCACAGTTTCCTAATCTGCAAAATGAGGATAACCCTAGTACTTACATTTTAGGACTGTGTTGTTGTTGTTAAGTGACGTTGAGACAATTCCGATCCATAGCGACCCTGTATAGGGTTTCCAAGGAGCAGCTGGTGAGCTTGAACCACTGACCTTACAGTTCAAAGGACTTTGCAGTCTGACGCATTAGCCCACAGCGCCACACCAGGACTCCTTTTAGGACTGCACTGAGGATTAAATTATAATACACACTAAGTGATTAGAACGCAAATACAAACCACATGGGAAGTGCTCAATAAATACTAGCTTTAAAAGTTAATTTATTGGCATACTAAACTGTTGGGGCAGAATTTGGGCCATTTCCCTCTACAATACAAAAATGGCTGGATACTGCAATAATCCAGTTTTAGTACTGGTAGTGCAGTGGATTAAGCACTGAGCTGCTAATCACAAGGTCAGCGGTTCAGAGTCACCAACTGCTTCTCACGAGAAAGACGAGGCTGTCTGCTCCTGAAAAGATTTACAGTTTTTGGAAACCCAGAGGAGTAGGTCTACTCTGTCTTATCGGATTGCTATAAGATGGAATCAACTCGATGGCAGTGGGTTTGGATGTTTTTATTTTTGGTTTATATATATTTTGTCTTCTATATAAATTTCAAATTGTTTTCCAGTTTCTTACCCCAATTGTTGTTGTTGCTAAGTGCCGTTGAGTCAGTTCTGACCCATAGTGTCCCTGTATAGGATTTCTGAGGAACTTCTGGTGAGCTTGAACCATCGACCTTGCAGTTCAAATGGCTTTGCAGTCTGGTGCATTAACCCACAGTGCCACACCAGGACTCCTCTTATCCCAATATGATCTGTTAATTGAGCCTTCACAGTACCCCTTCTTCTCACTGATGCTGTACTCTACTCTAGGCTGAGAAACTGAAACACCTGCTGCTTAGAAATCTGTAGGAAGAGGAGTTCCCAATGAGGGCCTCAAAGGGCTTTCCCAAGAATAAGGAATGGGGACTCAGTAAAACCTATTTCCATTTAAAAGTTTTTCTGGTTTACTAACTGGGTTCTCAGCTGTGTTTGGGAAAGTTGGAAATACCAAATTAGTGATCTATGGAATAATGAAACACTATTGTTATAATTCTGTCAAGCATTAGATTAATCACAAACAAATGAAAGGTTGGTCTCTCCATGATTTGCACTGTTAATCTTCTACAATTACTAATCAGTTGCCAATGTAATTATTAAGCTTTCAATCTATACAATGCTTTTAGAATAATACCTAAACCAATATAAATAACAATGTAGTTACTTACAGATTTCAAGGCCCAATTTTTAAAAACTTGGCTATTGCTGTGTTGCTGTTGTTAAGTATCTCCGAGTCTGTTCTGATTCATAGTAACCCTGTGTAGGGTTTCTGATGCTTTTAAAATCTTTGCAGGAGCAGAAAACCTCATATTTCTCTCACAGAGCGGCTGATAAGATTGAATTGCTGACGTTGTGGCTTGCAGTCCAGTGCTTATCCTACAGAGCCACTGTGCTCCCATTACTAACTGTGCTAGTATACAGAAGTCAAGTAAAATATGTGTCTGTGTGATGAAATCTGTAGTTCGAATAAGATTATTGATTTGATGAAAGGAGGAAAAGTATGAGTTATTAGAAAGGTTAAATGAAACAACAACTAATGAATAAATGAACTAATCAGAAGAAAAGGGAAAATAGGAACTATGAACTCTTTCTTACAAAATTGCAAAATTATAAGGAAATTGGGAGGGAAAAGAAATAGAAATTTTACAGATGAATAATGAGAAATAAGGAATCATTTACCAATTTTAATCCCATTCCCAAGTGAATAATACTCATATGCTTCCAATTTAATATTCAATTTAATAGCATCTCTACCTTTTTCATTGAGAGAGATTTTGATAAGATAATCATGTGCACCAGCAATAATCAAACCTGCTCAAGTGACCAGAGAACAAAAGAGGCATAGCGGAGCGCTACTCTTGAAAGATGCAGGCATGAGCTAGAAACTGGTAGCCACCAGGCCCAAATCCTTATTATCATATATCTTCAGTTAAAAATTCATATATTTTTACATTCCAGTCTGTTACATACCAATGTTTTTTTCAATCTAAAAAAATATTTATACAGTTGAATTCTTTAACTCTTCCCATTCCTAAATCTTTACGTACAATGAATACCCTAGAAGATATGTCTTGTGGTTCCTGTGGCTTCACCCTTCTCCTGGAACACCAGCAATCTCATCAAAGATATGCGAGCAGCAGGAGTGAAAACAATATCTTATTATAATATGATGACCAACAATAAATTAATAATCTAATAATCATTAAATAGAAGCTTCCAATTCTTATGCAACTCAGTGAAGCTAAGAAATCTGACAGTACACATCAATCTTAAAATGCACTCTCAGCTTTTGAGTTCTTATAAAAAGATCAATAATGATGCCTTCCTGCTCCACTGTGGAATTTGCGTTTCCCTGAATAGTTAACTTCAGAAGCACTGAATTACCCAGGAGATTCAACATCACAAAGAAACAAATAGTTGTTCTTTGAAAATTAGTGATTATCAATATAGAGAATCGGCCTATAGCTGCTTGGTATTAAATGACAAAAGATGACACTCACCCTCATCTTGATAATCTGACAAAAAAGGTGCATCAGGTATGAAGGAAGGGCCATGTGTTCCACTGTGATTTTCATCAGAGCTGTCCTGTCCGAGGTAACTTTCAGGTTGGTCTCCCCCTGAGGGACAAAAAGAAAGAAAACAAGGTCATTCTTTGAATATATTTATAAATATATCTGTAGATTTCTTCTTATATTAGAGCACACACACAGATGTATTTTACTCGATGGCTACAGCCACCATCCATTAATATGTAAGAAATAGATATATACGCTCATGAACTAACTTACCTGAATGTGAAATTTTCCATTCAAGTAACTACCTAACTAGAACTTAAGAAATATTATGTTAGAGTAGGAAGACCGCTTGCCATCAGACAGAAACTTCTTCATTGCACTTAAAACTAAAGCATAGCTCTATAAGTATATATTCTTGTACATTGTGTCTCCACTAATTACAACCCTTATCCTGAATGCCTCTTTTACTTTATATTTCCAAATGAAATAGAAGGAATTATACAAAGGGTTAACTTTTTATACAAAACATAATATAGCAAGGTCAACATTCTTTCTTTATCTGAAAAATAAAAGAAGCAAAACCAGAGAGAACCTAGATTTTGCTGGATTCTATTCCTATTTAAATCACTACTTGTTTTGCAACCTTAAGGAAGTTATCTCTTTGTAATTCTACTTTACTGCCTAAGTAACTGACCTCTTAGGAATTCTAAAAGCCCTAAGAAGGTAATATTTGTTCTGTAAAATAGCTTTGATACAAGTTAATGTATATGCAATACTGAATTATGCAATTAAAATACTGCTAATCCCTTTTGGGTGTTTTCAACATACATTGGATTATATTTTGTAAAAGTGGCCAATGTTATTATGATACTTTAAAAGGTTTCAGAAGGAAGATGTTAGCTCACTCAGAAACCGGAAGAAAAGGCTCTGCATTGCAAATGGCTTTTCTTAAAATCCCCCAAACAGAGGCAGAGTCTGTTGATAAAAGGACATCGACAGCTGCTCAGTTCATTTCACAAACATGAAAAGGGGATTTTCAACTGAATTTAATATTATCTCAAACACTAATTTTCAAAGGAAATCGCCAATGCTCATCTCAGTAAACACTGTAGAGTTTTGGCCCTGGATTTCAACTAGGGAGTAGTGAAACCAAACAACCTACGGAGAGTCTGTATTGCCTCACTTTAAAGGTTTATTTCCTACAATTAAACTAGAAGGATAGGGAGGGTATAAAATGATAAAAGAGAATGGCTATTGCCTTCTCTTGTCATAAATTAGGCAATCACATCTAGAATCTCTTCTATAAATGTTCAGTGTAGGTAGATGTCCATGGCTGAGTTGAACACCTGCAGATACAGGACTTTAGAAATAAATTATAGACTCTCTTGTGAAAAAGAAAAGTACAAATTAAAAAAAAGAAACAGTGGCTGGCTGAAGCCAGAAGAAATGCCTCTCCTTTATTAGTTTACTGATGAGTATATAACATCTTATGGCTATGCTTAAAGCATTACTGTGTAATTTCCATTGTTGTTGTTAAGTGCCATGGAGTTGGTTATGCCTCATAGGGGCCCTGTAGAGGGTTTCTAAGGCTTTTAAATCTTTGCAGGAACAGAAAGTCTCATCTTTCTCCAGAGGAGTAGCTGGTGGGCTTGAACCTAGGGTCTTGTGGTTCTGTTAGAAATGAATCCCGATGTCTCACAAAAGACACCCGGTGAGACTAAATTACATTGGCAAAGCAAAATTTACTTCTGCAAGAGGGTCCCTGCGCATAGCTGTACATACAGGAACAGGCCATCAAGCACACCTAGTGGTCAGTCCACTGGGGTTTTTAATCCCTGATGTGAGTCTCAAGGCTGTGTCTCATCCCATTGTAGGTTTTGACTGCACAATCTTTTCCCTTACCTGGATGGTTAGTTCAAATTTTTAAGGCTCGCATTCCTACTTTAGGAAAAGAAAAGGAGAGCGATCATAAATTCTTTACTCATTTCAGGAAGTAACCAAAGAAAAAGAGAGAGATCATAGTCTTTACTTCAGGAAATAAAAAAAATAAACGAAGATTGCCCGAATACAATAAACAGGATTATAATAAATAAATAGAAATATTTTCCACAGCCCCTAGTCTAGTAATTTCCATTATAATCAGAAAAATTCTCAAATACTGAACTAAGGTGTTAAAATGCTGAAATTTTGCATCCTTGTAGATCCAATGATGATATTGTTGATGTGATCTAAAACGAAATGTCTGACAGGTAAAGTGAAAGTGGGCCACTAAGTTAAATGGCATTTTAAATTTTGAGTCAAATCAAAGTCCATTCAAAAAAAGTAGTGACAGTTTGAGTTGCCAAACAAAAGTGAACATTTATAAAGATAGACTGAACGTTATTTATCAACTATTACTTTAGACTTAAAATTTTTGCTTGCTCTAGAGTTGGCAATAAGGAGCTCTGGTAGTGTAGTGGTTACGACTCGGGCTGCGAACCTTAAGTTCAGCGGTTCGAAACTACCAGCCGCTCCACGGGAGAAAGATGAGGCTTTCTACTCCCGTAAAGATTTACACCCTCGGAAACCCTGTACAGGGTCACTATGGGTCGGAACCGACTCGACGGCACTTAACAACAACAAAGAGTTGGCAAATCTGGTTTTGCTGCTATTGCTAAAGGGGCGGGCGGGGAGAAGACCTACTCTTACATATTATAGCATTCTGGGTACTTTAAAAAAAGTAAGTAGATTAGAAAGGGGTTTTGCTGTTTTTCTAAATAACTTCTTTTTAAGCTTTTATTGTGAATTGGTGATAGTTTACATGGGAGAATATCGGTTTTGCATTCATCCTATTGTATTTTGTTTCATTGGAATAATCACAATCCCCTCCATGCATCATCATTAACAGTATGTGCTTCTATCTCTTCTGTGTGTGTGGTTTTTTGTTATTGTTATTTTTATGCACACAAAAACACTCAGGAATACATAATCATTTAAGCAACCAAAGGGTGTGCATTCTGCAAGCCAGTCTCCTGACTGCCAGCATACAGCCTTTCTCTTTCCAGGAGTCTAGAGTTCTTAGCAGGTCTAGGTCTCCATGCCATCACCTCTGCCTCCATCTCTGGTGTTGCTACTTCTCTGGTTAGGTTCCCATGTTCTGCTCTGCTCATCCTCTTCTCTCTTGATGGTCCTAGGATCCTCTGCTCCTGGAATGTAAGATTAACTATTCCCACCTTTATGTTACAAAACTTCTACCTTTACAGTCCTGACATCTAATTAACTTTTAATTTAAAAATAATAGGAGACCTATGAAAGTATTACAAAGGTAACACAGAGTTCCTGCACCAAGTTTTTCCCAATGTCAACTTCTTACATAACTTTAGTTTATCTGTGAAAACCAAGAAATTAACATTGTTCCATCACTATTAACTGAACTACAGACTTCTTAAAAAATGTCACCAGTTTTTCCACTAGTGCCCTTTTTGTATTCCGAGATCCAATCCAGGATATGACATTGTATTTAGGGCTTCCATTTTTAAAGTCTCATCCAAAATACCTGCCTGATTTTGGCACTTGACTTACTAACCGCAGATGGAAAAGTCGACTGTTCATGATTCCTACAGTTTTTCAGTATAGCTACCCAAGATGGGCTTTTAACAGCCACTCCTGTGCCAAATACAAGATTTTACCTCCATAAAGTAAGCAACAACAAAGGTAAACAACTGAATGTAGCTAAAAATGACGCCTAGGTCAGTACTAAAAGTGACTGTGGTAAAGGAAACGTTTTACACCCAAGCGTAATTAGTTCCTGATGACAGAGATGTTGTTAAGTGTTTTTACTTTCATATCAAGTGGTTCAACTCCCTTGGGCACACAAAAACAATATAAATAGACACTCCCATGTAATTAAAATGATTACAACTACTGAAGAAGCCTGGGTGAAAATTTTTATAGAAGTAGAAATTACTGTGGTCACTTTGGATTTAAGTTTAGAAATTTTTCCCTTAAAAATATAACTGCAAGTGTTCTCTGGATTATTCTATAGCCCCGACAATCACAGTTCCAAGTAGCCACTACCATAGTCCAGTGGGATCAGACATAAATGATCACAAAGTATAGTGACAGACATTTCTACTCAGCAGCTCCACAATTAGGGCTTTGGAGCTCCATCTGCTTTGAGTGACTTTCTCATAAGAAAGACCCTTTGCCACTAGAGACATACTGTCCCAAAGCAACTCACTCAGAATCAATATATTTCTATACAGATATATATTCTAACACACCATATCTCCATTAATCACATCCACTACCTTCAGTCCTTTCTCTTTGTTTTTCTAAACATTATCTGGGGGGACTATATCAAGGATTTGCCTGCTATTAGCTAGTAATTTGTTCCTCTATCCTAGGTGTCATAAGAATTGGGCGCAAGATACACTCCTTAGTATATTCAGTGGCAGGCTCTCCACAGAGTATCATGCTAAGGGGCCGATCAGGGAGATGACTTCTCTATTGTTCTTTCCTGAGAGTCAAACTCAATTTCATTCATGCTCCACAGAGTGATAAGTTGGGAATTTCTGAGGGTTGAAGCAGAAGGATAAAGCAGCTTTGTGTCAGGTGTAAGATAATTATTTGCTAGGGTTTCTGAGCTATTTGTTTTTATTCCCTGTGTTTTCATTAACAGTTAATGAGTTTTCCCCCTTAATTCTGAAACAATAGCTTGGCCACTAGAAGTTGATTTTTTTCTGCCACAGATTCAACCAGCTGTTGCTGCTCCATAAACTTTATGGAGAAGTGCTAACAACTTTCATTTCCTAATTCAATTCCAAATAAAACAGGGGGGAAAATGAACCATGATGATGTTCCCTTTGTAACTATTTTGACTCACAGTAAACCCGTCTGATCCTGAACTTGTAGGCACTATTTAGGGACAAAAACAGGCCATTTTACCAATAAATGAGCAAGAAATCAGAAAAGACAAAAAGCAGACAGTTTAAGCAACACCAACAAAATATGAAAATAATAAATAACAGATAAAATATAAATGTTTGCTTATTCAATATGTAAAGGTGCAATGCTTTTTGTACATTAGTCTATTCATCTTTTATTTCTCTAATTAATTGTGA